AGTTAAACAAGCATGAATGTGCAAGATTGGCATATTCGCCAAGAAAATGCCCTGTTATGGAACTGTTAGCAATATTACTAGACTGAAGTGGTATTAGATATTATTTCCTGAAAGACGAATAAAAAAAAATTTTTGCAATTTGTTTGATTATCGAGGGTATAGCTTAGAAATTCGGAATAAATATGTAGCTGTAGAGGTACATACATATGTTAGTCATCCCAATCGAAAATAAAAATAACCATATCGATTTTTATTGTTACTTAGAATTATATTTTAATACAACAGAAAAGCTGCATTTCAAAACAGAACTATTTCAACTCTATTCGTTAATTACAAAGAATACAGATGGGCTGACTGATACGCAGATATAGCCAGACGGTCTTTGACGACTTCACTCATTCTAAGTATTTAAATAAATATGATTACAACTTGAAGGGGTTTGACAGACGAGACAAACAAACAGACAAAGAATTAGCGCGAATTATGTACATATATGTATATAAATCACGTCCATAGTGAGCTATCATATTAGTTGTATGGTAACTCTACACTTCTGTATGACGTATACTCCTGTTTTCGACTGGTACCGATAGCAGACTTTATTATTAAAAGCAAAATTCATAAAAAAACGCCAAAGAAATGGAAAACGACAAATCATTTGGGGGAAAACCCAAAGCAAAACAACAAATGCGATTGTATTGAGAAAAACAGATGCAATTAACTATTGAAGATGACATAAGATTGCATGTGTTTTTAAATTCAAAGGCAAGGTCAAAAGAGCGCCAGTGAATATAAATTGTGTTAAAACTTTTGATTTGATTAGTTGACTTTAGCGAATAGGCACTGTAATCAAAACATGCACACTTTATAATGACAAACATGCCGCTGAATTGCAAATTTCTGAGCACAAGTAGAAGCAGAATTCAAGGGAAAAATGAGGAAGTACATTCAAGGGTTTTAAATAACAGGTTCGTATATCAACGAAATGTTTATGTGCTTAAAATATGGGACTTTAAAGCTTTGCTGTTCCGATTGCAAACGCCAATTTGGATTTTTGTGTGTTTTAAGAATCGCACGAATAGTGTAAAAATACGTAATTGCGTATTAAAATAATATACATATACATATATGTACATACATATATATTTATACAAAAATATACATACATACATACATATATTTATCTATTTGCGGAGCATATTACGAATGATAGAGGGACAAAAAGACGACAATGAAAGCTGCAGGTGACACTGATCGAAGAGGAAGAGCATAGAGAATTGATGATGAAATTACCAAAACAATGTACGATAATAACAAAATATAGCCAACAATTAGCATGTGTTGTGTGTGTGAGTATGTGGGTTACCCAAAGCCAAGTTAGCTAACGTTGCGCTAACTTACCATAAATAACAGCCAATCCAGTCTCATGTAGCCACGAAACACGATGATGTTTGAATAGCCAAATGGTTAATACAGTTAGGGCTAGCAGAAATACGAATACCAGCAAATCGAGACTTTGAATGCGATGATTGAGCGTCGCTTTGGCATCGAGCGTTATGTCCGTATCGGCTGCACTGCAGCCATAGATGAGGGCCCACAGCGTGAACAGGCGCAGCGCCCAGCTATTCCAGCTGCCATTGCAGCAGCGGCGATTCAATATTGGCCTCGCCTGGCCTGAGTAAGCGTGCATTTTGCACTTGCTGTGCGACAAAGGTGGAATGAAATGAATTGTACAATTGTACATTGATTGAGTGTGCACAGTACTGGCACAAGCAGACGAAAACTGAAATCGATTTTCACGTTACGTTTATGTACGCCGTAAATTGATTTGGCGCACAGCTATTGCGGCTTGCGTCTGTGCACACAGGCACTTTTACGCGGAGTTTCTATCTGTTTTCCCCGTCTTTATATATTTTATTCTTTTAACTTTTGTTACATAAAAAATATATATTTTACACTATTAAAATTGTCACAACAAATTTCTATTTGACATTATGCTCGCCTCTTATACGCTCTTATACTAAGAACCATTACACTACACTGTGCAGAGAAGGTAGTTTCCTTAGAAAGCTGCTGCTTGCATTGCTGTTAATCACAGCTGTTTGTGTAGCTATCGATATTTTGAAGTCTTGCGGCCGATTTTCAGTGCTGTTAAATTTTACGATTATTTTTTGTCTTTTGTTGTGGTTGGCAAATTCTGTTATGTTTTGTGTCAACATTCTCAACAAAAGATTCTATATGAGACGGAACTATTCCACAAAAACACACATTTGTTTGCTTTTTTTTTTAATTTTATTTTCTTAGCTATCGGTTTGATTTAAGTACTGTTCTCTCTTGTATTTGGCAATAATTTGCATTATTTCCAGCTTTGCATCAATTTTATAGTCCTCATCCAGTTGATCAAGATCTTGGGCAATCGTCATACCATAATGATAAAAATTCGATTGGTGTGGTTTTCTGGGGGCTCGCACTTCTAAGATTGGTGACTCTTTTGGTCTCTTCCGGGCAGATGGCAAAATGGTTTCCTCTTCATTAGCAGGCTCATTAAATAGTGAATCTTCAACTGACGGCTCTTCCGTTTTTATGGTAATTGGTGGTTGACATTCCTGTGTGGCAAGTGGATCGTCTTCAGATAGATCAAAACTACTATCGCTTGCAGTCGGAGGTTGTGCTGTCCTACATGTGCTCATTGCCAATGAGTTTTGCTGCGCTCGTGCTGGTGTATCCAGAACTGAACTCAAGAATGATAAGGTTAGCCTAAATTTCCAGGTGGTACTGCAGTTTTCGGCATCTGCACCGATCCGCCTCGATTTGCTTTCTTCGAACAAATAGTAAGTTTTCATATTTGTCCATTTCTTTTGTAAAGCCTCTAGAATAAGCAGATTTTTACTTTAATATAATTGCAGCTTCAATATCCATATGTATGTATCTATTTTACCTTTAGTAATTGGTGTGGTAGAAGAAAATCCACCATAAGTGTTAACTTTGTCTGCTAGAAGCGACCAGAATTTCGCCTTTTTTGATTTATATGCGAACTGTGGATGGGAATGATCCCAAACGAATGGCGCTGCTTTCACATGTTTTATAATATAAAGCAGAATTTCATCGGTCCAAACCACTTTGTTATTTTTACTCATTTTGCTTATCTCTATCTTTCGCTAGCACAGAAAAATCGATTAGCTTCCTCAACCGATTCTTGTTATGTATATCGAATAAAAGAAAATTATTGTGCGCGATATGCACCTCAGTAATGAAGCGGCATTGCAATGAAATACAAACTGATATCAATTTTTACCATGTTTATTTATTGTGGCTTTCTAACTTAAGAAAAGTGACCACATGTAATATATAATTTACTTGGTGTATGCATGTTATATATATTAATACAAAATAAGACAAAATTAAATATTCGTTGTATATAATACGTTTAGAGCTCCACTTTGGTCCACTGGCTTCGCATGAATGTTGAATACTGCTTGGCTCCGGTATTATTGTATTTCTCAAAATATGGCAGCTCGCTGAGACGTGACAGCCAAGCGGTAATCCTCGGATATTTCTGTTCATCAATATCAAAAACTGCAGGCACAGATGAGACAGTGGCAGCACAGCAGAAATCAGCGATGGTCACTGTATCGCCAGCGATGTATGGTTTCTCCAGCAGAGTTTCTGTCAAGCGAAGAGCTTCGTGAACGTTGTCAGTCCGTTCTTTGGTCACCTCAGTGATACCCCTCATCCAGAACACGCTGCTCACATTCCACAATGCTTTGTAGATGACACTGGCATCGAAGAACAAGCGCTGATTGACTTCTGTGCGTTTCAGCAGATCCTTAGGATATAGTGCATCGGTATTAGCATACTTCTCGCACAGGTATATGCATATGGCATGTGAATCCGTTACGATAATACCATTGTCATCCAACACGGGTACCGTACCTTGTGGATTCATCTTCAAAAATTCCGGCGAACGATTCTCGCCTGTCCCCAAATTAATCACCTTGTATTCGAAGGGCACCTCCAGTGCTTTAAGTGTTACTAGACAGGCACGCACCGGCGGCGACATATCAATACCGTAAAGCACGATCTTCGACATTATGTTACACACGTGAACGTATCAGCTCCAGCAATTCGACTGAAGGCAATTTGTAGCTGACAAGCCTTATAAATTTGTATGTTTGTGGAATTCAAGTGTGGATCATAACAGTGCCAAGCTTTAAAGTGAGCAAATTAGGCACATAACGATGATATCGCACTTTCATACCCTCGAAATCTGCTCACACATAATTACAAGGCGTATGTGTTCACGATTAAATGAGGCTAATTTTAGAACATTATCAAACTAAAATATTCATTGTAAATATTATTGTTGTAATGATATCTTAAATGATTGAATTGGAACGCTTTATCTTTGTATCAATTGAGTTAAAGATCCCACTATATTTATATATTTGGAATTTAAGAGTATAGGGAATATCATAGTCAAAAGCGCATGGGCTCAGAAAGTTAATAAACTATTTCTCTAATGTTTTCAATTAAGCATCACGTAAAATAAAAAGAAATTTAAAATAATATTAAGTATAGAACTTTCTCACCTTAACAGATAGTCTTTTGTCCACCCTCACTAATTGTAAACAAGATATGGTCATCAATTTCATTATTATCATTAAATTGATTTTTGCTTGTCTATTAACCTAGTGTACTTCAAAATGGAATTTATTTTTTTATACATACAAAGATAATATTGGGTTTGTTACATCATAGAAACGTTTATGTAATTATTAAAAATTCTCAAGCTTCACAAAAATATTGCAAGTTATTAAATTTGTAGTTATTGATTTCCGTATTTGTTTGATTTCAAAATCATGAAATATGTACTTCAGCTGTTCTGTAACTAAAAAAGAAGTGTTTTCATCCATTCTCCTATTGAAAAATCATTTGTATCCTAAATACCATTTTCTTTTTATTTTTCCCACAGCAATATTCAAATTAAATATGCCAAAACAAATTAAAGTCGTATTTGGAATATTATTCAAAATTGGAAACAATTTATGTGAATGATCGATTAGGATGGTCCGGATGCTAAGAAAACCCAGATCTGTGTTAACCGCGTCCCGTTTCCTGCGATCTCGATGTAAAACGCGTCTTGTTTGCTCGCAGATCCTACATCAGTCTGCTACTCGGTACCATTGGCATGATACATGTGAATTTGATGCCTTTCAGTCTGGTCACTGTTCGGGCACAATGTCAGATGGTAAATATGACCAAATCTGCTCTAGATTCGATACCGTTTCTAGCGTTCTCTTTTCGTAGTGAGTAAAAATATACGGAAACAAATTGGTTTGGAGCCGGGCTATTATACGATACCCAAGTGTAGGGCAAATCTGCTGAAGTATACACCAAAGCGTGAGGATCTGCCAAGTCGTAGCATGGCCGATTCTTTCACAACGGCGATATTGCCACTGAGTTCGAGTTCGTATCGAGAGCGCTATGTCAATCACTTGCGTCGAGTGCGTATGGGACGACTGATGGAGGAGCTGGATTTGTTTGCGGGTAAGTCAATAGATATGCTGCCAAGAACTATACGACGCTTACATATGCCAGGCTCTTAGTGTGGATCTGTCATCGTCATACGAGTGTGCCGACTTTGCCCAAGGGCATACCGTTGCCCTATATATTTGTCACGGTGCTGGTCGAGAGCGTGGAGTTTTCAAACAGCAATAAGATCTCGGCATCTGAAGACATATCCTTGTGTGGCCATGTCTCGTGGACTGGCATGACCTCCATGGAAATAACCATTTACTTGCAGCAAAACTTTCGAACCATCCTCAAAGCCATATTTGTGGTGGTCGCACGCAATGCAACGAATACAGCAGCGGCACCAATCAATCCACTAGCTCCGGCCAATGAGAAGGAGAAGGCGTGCTACAAGGAATCGGTTAAGAGGTCTGAAGCACGCCAGCACAAACACTCAAAGAGTGCCCTTTACATCCGACCCACCAAAGAAGATGAGAAGCTAATGTTCGAGATCTTCAAGCGTACCCAGGGCACAAATGCTAATGATATGTACAATCTTGAATTGCCAGCCAATTGCAGATGGATGTCTGAATCGAATCAGACTACCTTGCTGCGCGCCTTCCCCGATAATCGCAACTTGCACAATCATATTTTTGGGGGATTCGTAATGCGAACTGCTGTAGAGATCAGTTCGATTACCGCCTGTCTTTATGCTGGCGGTCGACCACTGATCGAGTGCATCTCGGATGTGGCATTCTATAGTCCAGTGAAGGTGAACTCGTTTATCAAATTAACAGCGTACGTGGTCTATACCTATAAGAAGTATATTCAGTTGTTGACAATTGTGGAAGTCTTGCAGGAGAACAGTTCGTCGCATTTGACAACAAATGCGTTGTTTCTCATCTACAAGGCTGAGCGAAATGTCCAAGAGGTGCTGCCAATTACGTATGAAGAGTCGTTGTGCTATATAAACGGTCGCAAGAAGTTTCGTGCTTTCCAGAAGTTAAGACAGGATCGATTGAGAAATTTAAAGCAGTTTCAAAAAACCGAAAAGTCTGCCTAATAAAAAACATTTTATAAACACTCTACTTAAAATAACAATAGATCTTTAATTTAATTTCGCATTGAAGCGCTGGATTTAGGCAGTGCTTGCAAACGCTGGCGACGCTTCGACTCAAACTCTGTGGCTAAGTGCCAGGTTTCCTTATCTAGTGTCAGATGACCGCGCGCAATGCCCAGTAGACGCGATAGGACCAACAGACAGTGTAGATCATCGGCATTGCTCTTCACATTCGCCTTGCGCATATCAACAAATTCCTGCTGTATCATTTCCGTGTGCTCTTCGCTAACGCTGAACTGACCAATCCGCGAGGTAGTCAAGTAGTTGCGGAACTGCTGCAAACGTCCTGGCTGCAGATAGTGCAAGGCAGCTTTTAGAGATTCCTCCCATATCTGAATAGCCTTTTCATCCGCCTTAAGGGGCAGCACAAAATCGCTCTGTAAATAAACTACGCATATTAGAGATATACCGAGAGTACTCATGGCAATCCCATACCGGTAGCATGCTGCGTCCCTCGCTGAGCACCAGCACCGGAATATCCACATTGTAATCGATTTGATAATACTGAAAGTCGCACTTGAGCTGCTGATTGTTAATGAGATTCGCTAGATGCTGTACGGCTTGCACACCATTCGCCTCCAGCTTGCCCTGCTGCATGCGCGTCTCGTCCAGCACCAGATGCGTATGGGGCGCTAGCTGCAGCAGCCCAGAGACTAGCTTGTTCGTCTCATAGTCCTTTCTGTGGAACGTAAATAGCTTACTGTTAACCATCACAATGGAATGTAAGTTGTACCTACTTTGGCGTAAAGGCTGACGTGTTCATGGTTTCCAGTGTCATAGGCAGATAGTGGCTAGCAGGCACCAACAGCTCGAGCACCTCATATAGCTTCGTTGTATAGTGCTCCAAACACTCCTTGGGCAGATTGCAGATGTTTAGTGTGAATTTTCCAATGCTTTGCATCTCAGATCGGCTGTATACTGTAGAAATTAAATGACACAGTAGATACTCGGCAGCAAGCTCGTCGTCAAATAGGCAAAGTTTGAGCAGCATGCGCAAATCCTTGTGTATGGTCTCCAAAGATTGTGGTGCATGTAGCGCCTCGACCGCAGCAGGTTGCTGCAAACTCTCGTCCAGCATCGGATTGGCATGGCACAAAGACTTGACAGCAAAGGCATGCAGGCGTGGTATTAGAAAAGGAGATGGATTTTGTGCTTGCAGCTCGGCTAGGCTTTCCACATCCTTCATAACCTCAACGTCCAACGTGGACGCGTCCAATGCTGGATCGACAGACAAAAAACCGACGAAATCCATCAACGAGTTTAAGGTGTATTTATCAAAGTCCTCATAGACCTTCACCATGCAGGCCATGCTTGGGCGACTAGGCAGTGGTGAATTGATTAGGTAATCGGGGCCAAGCACTGTGGAACTACAACCATTTGTTTCTGCTTGCCTTTCAACACTCACACATTGCTTTTTGGCTGAGCTAATGCCCTTAGACTCATCTGCTTTGTCCACTTCCATATCTTCTTGATCATCCAACGCACGTTTGACACCACTTCCAACACTTGGCAACTGTTCAAACTGTGGGTTACATTGCTTCTCGTGCTCCTTAGCCCAGTCATTGAGACCCGGCACTGAGACCACAAACAGTGTACGTCGCTCGCCATGCACATTGTTCTCGGCATTGTAGTCCAGTTGTTCACCTTTGCCTAGTCGTAGACAGTCGCGATATTTGCCTGGCTGTAGGCGGGCACTGCCATCGTCTAATTTTACCTCGTAGCGTTCCAAGTAGATTTCTGGATCCATCATGTCCTGCACCATGCCACGAAAACGTACCAAGCCCTGATCTTTCAATTTGTGCAAAGGTGTGTGATTTAATAGTGGAATAGAGTGCCATTTCGTAAAATCACTGAGTAATTCCTTCCAGCTTGCAATGTCTTGTTCTATCAGTTCTTCTGGAGTGCGTGGTAATTCCATGTTGCAAGGCATTGCTCACATAAACAAATAATTGTTATTACTGAGTCGCGTGCGCGCCAAATTACAATATTATTGATGGAACAAATTCGATAGAAGTCTACAGCTAAGACAACTCTAATTGCATGCAATCGAGAAGTTATCGTAATCGTTGTTTGTGCTATCGTAATTTGTGTTATAGGGCTGCGATGAAACGGATGTAAAGCGGAGTATCCGCAAAAGAAATAATGAGCAAAAAGAGCCGAGTTTGGAACTTTTTCTATAAAGAAAGCGATACTGTCGCAATTTGTTGCCTGTGCCACAAAAATTATTCACGCAAGGGCCGTGGCACAACATGTCTCCGAAATCATCTGAAGAGCAAGCATCCTGCCGAATTTCTAACGTTATCCGAAAATGATATCAAGTACATGGTAAAAACGGAAATAAATGATAACGCATCCGCTCATACGAACCTGCAATTACACGTAAAAAAAAATTTATACACATTTTCAAGGAGCTCACTCTAACAATTTTAATTATGTTCTTTCCAGGATGCTGATCCATTGGAAGTTCAAAGAGTAAGCGACTCAGACGAAACATATGCGAGCGATGAGAAATTGGCTTTAATGATAGTCCAGCATGATTACTCCTTTAGCTTGATAAATAGCGTTGGCTTTGTGAACTTTATTAAAGTTCTGCAGCCTCGATATGCAATTAATACTGTCACTTATTATGAGAATATGTTATGTCAAGACATATATCGGCGGATGCAAACGCAACTGAAACAACAACTCGTCATGTTGGATTCTGTTTCCCTGGCCACAAGCATTTCGTGGCGAACTGGTGGCCAAGGCTTACTTAACTTAAGTTGTCACGGAATTTCCAATGACTTCCAGTCTAAGCAGTTCCACTTGAAATGCGAAGCTCTAGATGGACGGCACACAGACGATGTTGCTTGTCGCATTCGTATCATAATTTCAAATGCTTGCCAGGAGCTACAGCTACCCAAGGAGAAGATTAACTGCATTATTAGAGATGAGGGTACCTGTACACCTGGCTCTATAGTAGAGTGCAATGTACACCTACTAAAGCTTTGTGTGAAATATGCTCTTGAATCAAATGAGCATCTTAAGCAACTAGATGCCAAATGCCTTCAAATTGCGAAACATTTTGAGCAATCTCCCATAGCATACAATCATCTAAAATATATTCATGAAAAGCAATTGAATCGCGAGCCATTGCAATTGATGGAACATAAACACAACCACGTGGATTGGAACTCGATCTTTCGTTTGAAAAGCCGCTTGCTCAAGCTTAAGGATGCTCTCTCACTCTATGCCGAGGAATATAATATGGTGAAGATTTATCCAGATGAATGGCTGGATATTGATTTGGGTCAACGAGTCATACAGCCGATTGAGGAAATTGTCAATATTTTGAGTGGATGCTCTGCGACAGCCTCCTCAGTCATACCTCTAATAGCTGCACTACGTGACTCCCTTCGGACAGATATCCACAATTTTGTGTCTTCAGTGGTTAAGTGAAATGCTTATAAGGAATGTAACAAATTTTAACTCTGATTATCTTACAGACCATTTGCTCGTTTGCGCGAAAACTGCTCGAGGAGTTGGAATCGAGATGCTCCACAATTACTACGGATATCAAGTACCTAATGGCCACGTATTTGGATCCGCGTTATAAGCAAGCATTCTTTACCCATCAGGAAATGCAGCTGGTGACCGAGGAAGCATTGGCACAGCTATGTCGAACTCACATGCAGCAATGGCCGCCGCCAATGAAGATCGCAAAAGTAGCCTCGAATGTTAAAAACGAATCGAAAATCGATTCCTTTCTTGACAATATGCTCACACTATCCAACACGAGTACTGAAGCATCCACATCATTGCATTCGCAAACGCAATCGCAACTGAAAAACCTATTGTACTTATACAATTCTGAGCCAAGAGTCGAGCGGCAAAGTGATCCAATCGCTTGGTGGCGATCCAATAATAAATACAGCGCTTTGTTTCCAATTGTTAGGCGCTATCTTTCCACGCCTGCCGCCAGCATTGCCAGCGATCGTCTATTCGATATATCTAAGAGCCTATATAGTGATATGCAAGTGGGTCTCTGTCCTGAAAATGTTTCCAAAATATTATTTGTTAAAGCAAACTTGAAAGCCCTAGAGCAAGTTTAGCTATATGATTTAAATGCAGATGAATTTGAGGTGTTTAAAGGAAAATAAACTAAAATTAAGTTAGGTATATTGTTTACTGAAAACTTTATTAAATTTAAGCTTCAATTTAAACAATATTCACGTTAGGCAAAATTATTATTGTTTCCAAAAGGAAACACATGATTGAAATGTACTTATCAATTGCATATTGAAATAAATTTAATTAATTGAAGATAAAAACCACTTTAATTACCCAAATATGTAACTCATTGTTTTCAGAAATCATTTTATGATTAAGATAACAATATAAGCTATTCTTTTTACCTATATCTTTTAATTGTGCTGTAATATCATCCATAATCCACAATAACTTAATGCATTGCTCTGGCTGACCTGATTCCAGATTTAAGTAGCAATGCCCTAGACTATTAATTTTATCAGTAGCAAGGGTTAAGTCAGACATATCATTGGGGCATTTAATATAAGTACATTACATAAATTCAGGAATGGCTTTGGGAACCTCATTCTATTTTTAATCAGTTAAATTTGGAATTTATTTTCTGCCTTTTGAAATGGAGATTGTAATATACCAATGGCAAAAAGTTATAACACTGATACTTATCACAATAATTACATAAAGAAAATAAAATGTTCTGATATGAGACAACCCATAATAAAGTAATTAAACTAACAGAGATGTGTCAGATATACAAATTAAAATAAGTATTACAAGCATGCGCTGTTCTAATTATTTATAAATATAGTTGCTCCACAATCGGGCAACAAACAAACAAACGAGAGCTATATATGAATTGGTAGACAGATGAAACATATTTATATTGTGTATGTAAAAACAGAAAAAAGACAGGACTATATTATGTAGCCACTGAGATTTACAATTAAATGCTACACAAATGTCCACATATTGTTTTATATATATATAATAAATATTATAAATAAATTATAATAGAACAAACAAAACAAGACTCTTATATATATATATATATATATATATATATATATATATATATATATATATATATATGTTTGTTTTGTTTGTTTGTTTCTTGTTTTGTTTGTTCTATTATAATTTATTTGTTAGACTTTTATAGTGGGAACATGGCAAATGTCTGATCCCTAATATTTTAAATTAGCATATTTTATGGATAGTTATATAATAAGGATATCAAATTAAAGCGTGTCTTCTAACTAATATTCATACTTTTCTAATTTAGCCTTTCAAACTCTCCCAATAGTTCGACACAGATGCTAGTTTCTCGTTCCACATTCATCCAGTTAAACGCTTTAATTGTAACAACAATTTTATGTCGTCCATGTAAAGGCAGTCCAGTAAAATCGAATATTATGTTTATAACAAACGGCTCGTATATAAATTTAGTCTGAAAAAAAATTGCAAAATAGTATAGTATAGAAAGTATATTTACATTTAGTAAACTTACTCCGGGGTAAATACATTCGTCCTTCACATCTGCTTTATTGGTTATAAATTGTGTCCAATACTTATACCAATATTGAGGCTCGTCATAGAGAATGGGGCAGATGTCAGTAACGGTCATACCGAAAGGTGTTTGCACCCAGCTTATACGATCGAACTTAAATAATTGAAAGCTCATCTGAAGAGAAATTAATTTTCAAGGATGTTTGTCCACTTAAAGAATTTTGCTGAAACTACCAAAACACGATCGCCTGTTTGAATGTTCCACTTAAAGGAGAGATTTCCCGATACTGCGAGCTTATCGTCTTCCCGTGTAAAGATCAACTCTGATACATCGCACATTTCATAAATGTTAAGGACGTTGCGTGCTGAATTTTGGCACTCGCTGTAGAACTGATCATCCTCAGGGACGAATAGGTATTTCAAGGCACTCGATTGCCATGTGAATAAAATCGCGCCGAAAATCGCGGATTGAAACTTTAGTTGGAACAGCATCGTTTGATTTTTCGACTCACTTTGGAATATTGAAAAAGACGCGTTCGGGTTTTTATAGCATGTGCTCTAGGCGGGAGTGGCCAGATAGAAAATACCATAAGTTCCGTTACAGCTAATCTTCAGTCAGTTACATTACCCTAATTACAATGAACATCTGTTACCACCTTTTTCAGGTTAGCTAAACAATACGAACTAACACATGGCTAACTATTGGCCACTTATCAGTATTATACAATTCAATCTTTAACGTATAAAAACATCACTTCATAGGACAGCAAAGTAAATTCGAAAATGAAACGCACATAGTGAAACGATGTAGCTCAAAGTGCCCGAGGATGATAAGTTCCTTGAACGCTGCTCATTGACGGATTGGTTGACGGATTGGTTGACACTTCTTAAATAGCTTCAATATTAAGATTTCAGTAGCATTGTCCTAAACTATTATTTTTATCAGAAGCAGACATCTCATCGGGTTCTTTAGTGTTGCCTACACTGCATGCATAAAATCAGGATTGGCTTGGGAAACCATATCGCTTTGGAAATGGGAGTTTTTTTACTTATCACAATAATTATGTATAACAAAAAATTTGTAATTAAATCTAACAGGATTAAGATAAATATTAAGAGCTTTCGGTATTCTAATTATTTTTAGAGAAAATTGCTCTATGGTCGGGCGATAAACTAACAAACGTGAGCTATATGTGAATCGGTAAGCAGACAAAAGATAGGACTATCTATATTAAGTAGTCTCTAAGATTTTCGTTTAAATGCTAAACAAATTTCAACTTTGTAATAAATATCTGTTATAAAATCTTTTCGTTTGTTCTTTATTATAATTTATTGATTAGAATTTTTATTAGGAACTTGGCGACTTTTGATCACTAACATTTTAAATTAACATATTTTAAGCATACAAAATGGATAGCTACAATAAGCATACCAAATTAAAGTGTTCCAGTTGGGAGGATCTGTTCAGGACTTATCGGACTCTTCTAACTAATAGTCATATTTTTTTCTAATTTAGCCTTTCAAACTCTCCCAATAGCTCGATACAGATGCTAGTTTCTCGTTCCATATTCATCCAGTTAAAGGCCCTGATTGTTACAACAATTTTATGTCGTCCATGTAAAGGCAGTCCAGTAACATCGAATATTAGGTTTATAACAAACGGTTCGTGTATAAATTTAGACTGCAAGAACAATGTAAATATTTATAAGTATATCAATTTTGTAAACTTACTCCGGGGTAGAAGCATTTGGATTTAACATCTTCTTTATTGGTTATATATTGAGTCCAATACTTATACCAATACTGAGGCTTGTCAAACAGAATGGGACAGATGTCAGCAATGGTCATACCGAAAGGTGTTTGCACCCAGCTTATACGATCGAACTTAAATAATTGAAAGCTCATCTAAATGGACAGACATTTTAAGGATGTTAATTGACTCAAAAAATGTTAACTGAAAATACCAAAACACGATCGCCTGGTTGAATGTTCCACTTAAAGGAGGCATTCCCCAAAACTGTTATTTTATCGTCCTCTCGGGTAAAAGTTAACTCTGACATATCGCTCATTTCATGAACGTTAAGGACGTTAAGTGCTGAATTTTGGCACTCGCTGTAGAACTGATCATCCTCAGGGACGAATAGGTATTTCAAGGCACTCGATTGCCATGTGAATAAAATCGCGCCGAAAATTGCGTATTGAAACTTTATTTGGAACAGCATCGTTTGATTTTTCGACTCACTTTGGAATATTGAAACTGACGCGTTCTGATTTTTATAGCATGTGCTCTATTCGGGAGAAGCCAGCTAAAAATTACAATAAATTCTGTTACAAATGTATGATACGTATGTCAACATATACGCGCTCACAGACACTCACAAACAGGGCTAGATTAACTCGTCTGATGATCAAGAGCAAAAATACAGAACCAATAAACGAGATCTAAATACATCTATGTATCAGTAGACAGTGCTAGTACATGGATATTAAAACACAGATTTATACAACTCAAATATTGTGAAAAACACTACATATACAATTAGTTAACCTTTAGTCAGTTACATTACCTAATTTACATTGAACACGAGCTAACTAATCTGTTACCACCTTTTTCAGGTTAGCTGAAACTAACACGAACTAACACTTGGTTAACTATTGGTCACTTATCAGTATTATATAACTTAATTTCTAGCGTATAAAAGCATCAGTTCATAGGACAGCGAATAGTGAAACAATGTGGTTCCAGCTGCTGTTTCAAGTAATCGCAGTCCTCTTGATGATACTGTTCACAAGACAGTCGAATGGCCTTAACTACCGATTCATTGCCGAGGATGATGAGTTCTTTGCAGAATGCGATAAAGCGCCCAGTAATGCTCTGAACTTTCATGGAATGGCTGACCTTTCTCAAATAACCTTCGCTCGGAATGATGGTATAATAGCCATATCGGGCAATGCTACCGCAACCTGGCCTATTAAACCTGGGGATCGCATTGAAGTAAGTTCGGATTGCACTAATTGAGAGGTACATCACTTTAATTTCAATATTATTCAGGGCAAAGGTGTCATGTTCTGGTACGATCGCGGCATCTGGCACCCAACACAATTCAGTATGACAGTGCATGACTGCTGTGCCGTCATGTACGACAAGCCGCAGTACTGGTATAAATATTGGACAAAACATATAATCAATAGTGAAGAAATAAAGGACCAATGCTTTAATCCCGGAGTATGTATGTGCTATACAACAATTTGAGGTTAACAATCTGTATCTACGCCTTTCAGACCAAAATGTTACATGAGCCTTTCGAACTAGACATTATAATGCCGTTCACAGGCCTGCCCTTAAATGGTCGGTACAAGGTCGTGACTACGCTTAGGGCATTCGACAAGAGTAATGTGCAGCGCGATACATCCGTTTGCTTACAAGCCATTGGGGAATTCGAAAGGCTAAACTAAAATATGCGCAATCATGAAGCCTGCACTACATATTATTCAAATTTTACCCATTTTTCAAATGTCACAAGATTAATCAATTAAAAGTCAAAACTCCGTCTACAAGAAACGTATTCAGCGAATAAATTCCGAACAACATAAAACAACTCGCAGCCCAGTGGGTATGAATAACCCCTGCCCGTTAGGCATATAATGTAGTAATTATTATGTCTACCAAGAAATTCGAACTAATAAGCATATAAGAAAGATCTTATCGGGGCTGCTTGACTAGCAGATACCTATAAACAAAACTAAATTTATATCAAATGATTTAACAAAATAAATTTAGAAATATTTCAAAATGCGTTACAAACAAAATTTTTACAAATTCTCAATGAAAATAAACACAAAAACAAATTTAGTTGTATATTAGTTATTATTTGATAGATAGTTATTGGTATTGATAGAATAATAATAAATTTTTCGCATCGGAAAATGATTGTATATACTGTAATATTTATTACTCCAGGCTTTCAATACATGCACATTAATTGAATCTTTCAAATTGTCCTTCTACTTCGATACAGATGCTAGTTGGTCGCTCCACATTATTCGCGTTAAATGCTTTAATTGTGGCAATAACTTTATGTCGTCCACTTATAGGCAATCCAGTGAAATCGAATATCATATTCAGAGAAAACGGTTCGTGAATTAATTTAGTCTGAAAGGCAAAGACAAAAATGATTTACTTCGAATACATTTAACTTTTGTAGACATACTCCAGGGTACATGCATTTGTTCCTCACGTCTTTCTTATTTTTGACATGTTTTGTCCAATACTTATACCAGTACTGAGGCTCATCATATAGAAGTTCACACATGTTACGAACTGTCATACCGAATAGTGTTTGCACCCAGGCTATACGATCAAATTTAAATAACTGAAAACTCATCTAAATAGAAAGCAAACTTTAAATATATTATTCCAATCGGCGATTGTTGAAGTAAAGTACCTCAATGCGATCCCCTGGATGGATATTCCACTTAAAGGTAGCGTTGCCAGACATATAAATTATATCGTCCTGGCGTGAAATTGTGAACTCGGAGGCATCAAACAGTCCATAAATATTAAGGATATTTTTTGGTTGGTTAGAACAGTCATCAAAGAACTCGTCATTTTCAGGAATGAACTGGTATTTCAAGGCATACGATATTTTTACGAAGAAAATGGAGAATAGCACTGCGTACAAAAATTTTGATCGGCACAACATTGCGTTATTATTAAATTCAAATGGGAATGGGTTCTTATGCTTGAATTCAATTGGTTTTTATACACTAAAACAAGTTGTGTAATGCTGATATTTATCACAATAATTACATGTTGACGTGGTTAGATTGCTCCCAATTCGAAAGAGGAAGACCTGATATGTCGATAATACTCTAATTTTATTTAACAATGTTTATGTTCTATTTTATCATCAACTATAGTAATGTATTTCATTTATGTTCACCTTTTCCATATCCTTAATGAGTGCGATTGATTTAGTCATGCCCGACTGTCATTGATCGTCGTTGTCTCGAATACTTGAATACCGTTGAAGGTTGAGATCTCAAATTTCCTATATGTATTTTATATGCCCATGTGCTGAAGATAAATGCGAATTCACAATAAATATATTTGAGATACTGTGATTACTACTATTTAATGAAGAATGTCCATCTTCTCTCTGGTCCCAGCACGATGAACATGTTTGTCTACCTATCGTATAAAGTTCGTAATAAATAATAATAATCAAATTTTAAATTTATAATTTTTTAAAACAGTATCTTTTCACTTAAAATTTTCGCATGTTATGTAATACCCCAAATGGCAGACGTTTAAATTCTGACCGTTCAGCGACTTAATAAAAAATTATTTAATTGGCCGACTCATAGATACAATAATTGTAATCACTTCAGGATCTCAGTATACATTAATTAAGTCTTTCAAAGTGTCCATCACTTCCATATAAAGGTAAGCCAGTAAGATCGAATGTCATATTCAAGTCAAACGATTCGTGAATTAATTTAGTCTGAAAGACAAAGACAAAAATGGTAAATTGAAAATATAATTACAATTACGAACAATACTTACTCCAGGGTACATGCATTTGTCTTTTACGTCTTCCTTATTTATTACATATTTTGTCCAATACTTATACCAGAGCTGAGGCTCATCGTAAAGAACTAAACACATGTCATAAACTGTCATGCCGAATGGTGTTTGCAGCCAGGCTATACGATCAAATCGAAATAACTGAAAGCTCATCTAAATAAAAAGTCAATTGTAATACTGTTATTCCACTCAATGAATGTTGAAGCAAAATACTCCAATGCGATCCCCTGGTTGAATATTCCAGATGGCTGTGTAGTTTCCCGACATATGAAACACATCGTTCTGTTGTTCAATTGTGAATTGAGACATGTCAAACAGTCCATGAATGTTAAGAACATTATTTGGTTGATTGGAACAATCATCAAAGTACTCATCATTCTCAGGAACAAATAGATATTTCAAGGCGTTTGAAATTTTTACGAAAAAAATGAAGAATATCACTTCATACAAAAACTCATAGATACAATAATTGTAATCACTTCAGGATTTCAGTATACATTAATTGAGTCTTTCAAAGTGTCCCTCTACTTCGATACAGATGCTAGTTCTCCGCTCCACATTCTTTCGGCTAAAAGCTTTCATCGTTATAATAATTTTATGTCGTCCATATAAGGGTAAGCCAGTAAGATCGAATGTCATATTCAAGACAAACGATTCGTGAATTAATTTAGTCTGAAAGACAAAGACAAAAATGGTAAATTGAAAATATAATTACAATTACGAACAATACTTACTCCAGGGTACATGCATTTGTCTTTTACGTCTTCCTTATTTATTACATATTTTGTCCAATACTTATACCAGAGCTGAGGCTCATCGTAAAGAACTAAACACATGTCATAAACTGTCATGCCGAATGGTGTTTGCAGCCAGGCTATACGATCAAATCGAAATAACTGAAAGCTCATCTAAATAAAAAGTCAATTGTAATACTGTTATTCCACTCAATGAATGTTGAAGCAAAATACTCCAATGCGATCCCCTGGTTGAATATTCCAGATGGCTGTGTAGTTTCCCGACATATGAAACACATCGTTCTGTTGTTCAATTGTGAATTGAGACATGTCAAACAGTCCATGAATGTTAAGAACATTATTTGGTTGATTGGAACAATCATCAAAGTACTCATCATTCTCAGGAACAAATAGATATTTCAAGGCGTTTGAAATTTTTACGAAAAAAATGAAGAATAACACTTCATACAAAAACTTCGATACGAGTAACATTGTACTATTAGCAAACTCAATTAGGAATTGCTGTTGGTGCTGTACGTAATGGAGTTTTTATACACAGAAAAGCAACTGATATTGATACATTATTTCCATAATAACTGCATATATACGTTGTTAGAGTCACTTAATTTGAAAGAGGAGGACCTGATATCGCGATAGCACACTAATTATATTTAACAAGGTTTCTGTTCAGATTTATTAATAATTAAAGTAATATAATTAATTTAATTTTTTATTTGCATCAAATTAAACATTTCCCTTCAACGATTCTCATACCCTCAACCCATTGATAAGCTATGCTGTACGCTAGTTTTATGAAAATGTAATAGGCTTAATTAGATTAATTAGATCAGTAATCTAAACCAACCAGTAATCTCATCCTTGTTGGACATAGTGCAATCTAATATATCAAATCAATCTACATGGAATTATTGTGATAAGAATCACTGTTGCACAGCTTGTTTTTTAGTGTATAAAAACTCCAATGCATTAACTACAAAAGTCAATTCGAATTTGAGTTTAATAATAACACAATGATGTTCCGATCAGCGTTTCTGTACTCAGTGCTATTCCTAATTGTGTTCATTAAAATTTCGAATACCTTGAAATATCTATTTGTTCCTGAAAATGATGAGTTCTTTGATGATTGCTCCAATCAACCGAATAATGTCCTTAATATTCATGGACTGTTCGATTTGTCGCACTTTACAATTACACGCCAGGACGATATAATTTATATGTCAGGCAATGCTACCTATATGTGGAATATTCAATCAGTGGATCGCGTTGAGGTATTTCTTTAAGTGGAAAAACATCTCAATTATTGATATAATACTGTTTTCATCTAGGTGAGCTTTCAGCTATATCGATTTGATCGCATAGCCTGGGTGCAAACACCATTCGGCATGACAGTGCGAGACATGTGTCCAATTCTATTTGATGAGCCTCAATACTGGTATAAGTATTGGACAACATATATAACTAATAAGGACGATTTTAAGGGGAAATGCCCTAGGCCTGGAGTATGTTTGTAAATGGAAAAATTGTATTGCAATTAAAAATGTTTTTTATTTTCATCTTCTAGAATATGTTAATCTACGAACCATTTTCCTTGAACTTGATTATCGAATTAACTGGATTGCCTTTAAATGGACGATATAAAGTTATTATGACAGCTAAAGCCTTTAGTCCGGATAAAGTGGAGCGAGACACTAGTATTTGCGTCGAAGTAGAGGGACAATTTGAAAGAATCAATTAAATGTATATTAACTATGAATCTATCAATTAAAATTGTAATTGACAAAAAGTCAAATAATGAAATAAACGAACAAAATTGTCACATGGCTCGATTTTATGATTATATGTTAAGCCAATGAAAAATTGGAATATTGGAATATATATTAAATATAATGAACACACTGAACTGGTTAGATATATCTAGCATGATGACAGGACCGCCTTCTTATACCCTGAACCCATTGAAAATTGGAAATCAGGGTTTTATGGTTTTGTGTAAAAGTATGTAACGAGCAGAACGAATCATCGCGGACCCCATAAAGTATATATATTCTTGATCAGGACGATGAGCTGAGTCTGAGGGCTATATCAGCCCTGTCCGTCGGTCCGTCCGTCCGCCTGTCCGTCTGTATGAGTGCGTCGATCTCAAAAGATACAAAAGCTAGAGAGCTGAAGTGTAGCACGCATGCTCGTGTATACCATACGCAGTACGAATTTATCTTATTTTTTCGATAAATCATCCGATAACTCTTTTGTCGAGAATAATCAAAATTGATTTTGTTTTTTTCAGCCTCATTTGAACATTATTAGACCTGAAAGCTTCAGATTTACTGTCTATATACATATGATGAATACAAACATTTTGTATACCACCAGATTTTGCATACCACGTCCCCTTCGCCCACAATATGTAAAACACGCATTTCATATAGTAGAGGCTTGTGCTTTGGAATGTACACACATTTGAACATTATGATTACGTTCTGAAAGTTTCAACAAATAAAGCCTCATAATATTGCCCACACCGCAGCGCAGCCCAATCGCAGTCGCTGCTTACTGCGCAGTTAGCAGAGCGTGTTCTGTATGTGCGTGTGTATGTATGTGTACCTAAAAGAAGTGCAGAGTGATTAGAATATCAGCTTGGAGGGTTCAGGGTATC